TTTATTTCTTTTATGTCTTGTCTGTACTACCTGTTGTAGCCACCACGTTTTTAGTATAGTTCTGGTCATTGATTCAGCAAGTATTTCCTGAGCACATACTTTATGCTTGGGTCTGGTATAGATGCTAGCATAAAATGATATAGTATTCTTGTCTAACATCATCTTTCTGTATAAAAATCATCTTTGATTCTCTAAGGAATCCTCCTTTCTCGTGTAATAATGGCATATCTGGAAGTAACATCTGAAATACGTTGCTCAGCCTGTGTTGGTGCCAGGCAGCATGCGTGTGTGAATTATCCCTGGATGGTTTGACAATAAACAACACCAGCAGTGAATGAGGATTCCTTTTTCTCTGCAACCTCTCCAATACTTATCACTTGTTTTGTTGATAATAGCCAATCTAACAGATGTGAGGCGCTGTATCTCACTGTAGTTTTGATTTGCATTTTCCTAATAGCTAGTGAAGTTGAACATCTTCTCATATAGCTGTTGGCCATTGGTATGTCTTCTTGAGAGAGGTGTCTGTTCAGGTCCTCTGACCATTTTTTAATTGGACTGTTTGCTTAGTGTTGAGTTGTATGAGTTCTTTATATATTTTGGATACTAATCCCTTATTGGAGCTGTTGTTTGCAAATATAATCTTCCATTTGGTTGGTTGCCTTTTTGTTTTGTTGTCAGTTTCTTTTGCTGTGCAGCTTTTTAGTTTGATATACTCCCATTGATTTATTTTTGCCTTTACTTCCCTTGCCTTTGGGGACAAATTCATAAAATCCTCTCTAAGACCAAGGTCCATAATTTACTACCTATATTTTTCTTTACGTAATTCTTTGTTTCAGGTCTCATATTTAGGTCATTGACCAGGAATCAAACCAGCAACCCTTCGGTGCATGGGACAACACAAACCAACTGAGCCACACCGGCCAGGGCCCAAGATGGTTTTTATACCAGGGTACCCAAATGTTTATAATGCAAACACTTAAGCCTAGAAGCTCCCTCAGTAGATGATGATGAACTTGTGCTAAGTTAACAAGTTGTGTTGCAGAGAGCCTGCCATAATTCTACTTTTTAAACTTGCAGTCCAGATTCACAGACAATCAATAAGAAATAATTCCAAATGGCAGATTAGACCCTACACCAATCTTGGTCAATGTTATCTTCTTAAAGATCTTTAAAAATGCCGAAACCGGTTTGGCTCAGTGGATAGAGCGTCGGCCTGCGGACTGAAAGGTCCCAGGTTCGATTCCGGTCAAGGGCATGTACCTGGGTTGCGGGCACATCTCCAGTGGGAGATATGCAGGAGGCAGCTGGTCGATGTTTCTCTCTCATCGATGTTTCTAACTCTCTATCTCTCTCCCTTCCTCTCTGTAAAAAATCAATAAAATATATTTTTAAAAAAAGATCTTTAAAACTTATTTTACATCTCATCTTCTACATTTGCTCTATAAAAATTATTTTATAAAAACTTGTAGCCTATGTCCTGATCATAAGTTGTACTTTTTTTCTTTATGCTTATTTCAGTCTATAAAGTTGTAGTCTTAAATAGAAGCGAGTCAGCACATGTATTCTCCTGTTGGCTCCATAACAAAACTAGATTTTACACAGGGGAATCATAGATTGGGTTATTATAATTTTTTAAAAAGCTGAAGAATTAAAACACTCTGGCTAAATAAGTAAGAATAATGATCAGTTAGCCATTTCACAGCTGGACAGAGCATGAGACAAGCTCCCAACCTGGGGTGCAAAATTTAAGGAAGCACCCATTCTTGGGGGTCATGTGAATGAGTGACCTAAGAGTGCTGTGCCTCCCTGGGTGCTTCACCTGCTTCACTAGTCCTGGCCCTGTCCTGGAAGAAACATATATTCAGGAAGGCAAATAAAATACCTATAAGTAGAAATTATTTCTAAAATATCCCCTAGCCAGACAGTAAATTTTTAGTAATTTCATCTATCAACATGCTGCCTGCTCATAATGATAATTCAGGAAAGTCCCACTCTCCCAGAGAATGACGATAGCACCATAGCCACATTGTCGTGGTTGGAGTATGGATAGAATGGCTGTAAGTCCCAATTTCAAGTGGTACATCCTGTCGACAACTCATCCCAACCTGTGATTTAGAAAATGCTGTAGCTTGAATATGCACGGAGATTGCGTCCTTTTGCTTTTACATTGGTTGCTCTCTACTGATAGAAAGATGCACTGAGTTAACTTGTGAGGATCGAAGCCACTATTGCACAACAGGAGACTGGGGCACAGCAAGGCTAAAAAATGCACACAATTCAAATTCCTTTGTCATGGCTGGAACAACAACCCATATCTCAACTCTGTCTTGGGCTGTTCCCTGTAATTATGCTGCCACTCTCCTTGGACCACAACCCACTCAAGGTTCTTTTAGGAGAAAGTGGTGGTAACAACAACAAAATCTGAACCAAACTGGTTTAAGCAGAGAATTTTTGGTTCACACAACAAAATATTCCAGGAGTATTTTACCTTCATGTTCAGCTGGATTTAAGGCCCTAAACCATGTTCTCATGACTGGGTTCTCCCAGCCGTTTGGCTTGCTTCTCCCACACTATAGGTCAGCACAATGGCTGCCAGCTAAAGCTCTAACTTAATCTGAGAAAGGCCTTGCCATTTTTCCCATGGGATTTCCACTGTTCAGATGGCATCTCATTGGCTCTGACTGGATCAAGTGCCATCTTGGACATTGTCACCATGGCTAGAAGGAGGTGCTGTTCTGATTAGCCAAGCCTGAGTCCTATGTTCCTTCTGCCCCCGAGTGTAGAGCCTACACAATCTGAAAGATGGGGTCTGAGTGGACATTGGGCTACTTTCATCAGAAGAAAGGGAAGTGGATGGTAGCATCTGAACAGGAAATGTTGGCTGTAGGCAAGTTTCTCTTTTACTCCACTCTCCTAGTAAATTCAACTCTATTTTCCAACTCAAACTGTAACTCTCATGTCTCTCTCCAATAGCCATTTTCTCTTGTGTAGCTCATTTAACATTTTAGAAGGTAAATAGTGGGGGGAAAATTCAATGGGAATTGCCCTGCTGGGTTTCAGACTTATTTAATACCAATGATTCCCCTTTTCCTTCCTATTTCTCCCACTGGATGGAGCCTCTATCCTATGTCTGTCTCATTATTGTTTTTGGAAGCATGTAACTTGCTGTCTGGTTTCACAGGTTCACAGATAGAGAAGAACTTTGCCCCACGGTGATTAACACAATAGATCTCATCTATAACTGACTTAAATGATTAAAATAATAAGACTTGGAACTTTGCGTTGAGGACATTTAGATGAAATTTTTGGACTTAGAGTTGATGTGAAATTGTAATGGCTTTTGGGGATGTTGGGATGGGATAAATGTATTCAGCATGTGGGAAGGACATGAATTTGAGGGGATCAGAGAACAGACTGTTATGGGTTGAATCTCGTCTCCCCAAAAGACACGAAGTCGTAACCCTTGGTGTCTGTAAATATGACCTTATTTGGGAATAGGGTGTTTGCGGATATAATCAGATTAAGATTGTAGTAGGCAGTTAGATAGGCATGAGTAGAGCAGGAATGATGGGCCGGGTGCAGAGGGTCACGAGGGTGGAGAGTCCCAGGTGCCTAGCAATGGGCAAAACTACAAGCCCTTGTATGACCCACTCCCTTAATCATTAACCCCTGGAGATGACATCTAGGCTTCAGCTGTGTTTCAGCTCCAGGCCCAGAGAAATAGCAAAAGCAGATGGAGCAATGCTGTGGCTGACATCAGGACCAGCTGCAATGACTAATGACCCCCTCCCCTCTGGCCGATCAATCAGTGGAGACCGTGAGGGGGTACATCTGGAAGCTGATGAATATTCTATTGATATCCTCCCCTGAGACCTGGAAGCTGATGAATATTCTATTGATATCCTCCCCTGAGACCTCAAATAAAAGCTCTCAGGATGGAGAACTGAGCACTGCCCTAAGGGATTCACAAGGGCCCTTCTTTTGCTGTAACTTGTTTCCTTCTACGGCTCACTTCTTCTACCCCTGTGACTTTCTAGTAACTTGTTTCCTTCTACAGCTCACTTCTTCTACCCTGTGACTTTCTAAATAAACTTTCTCTTATAGTTTGAGCCTTGGCTCTGCATTCCTTCCTAGCCGGAAATCAAGTACCGAGGTTGCTAAGCTGAGGTTAACACCTGGTGCCATTTTCTGCTGGTGTCTTTATAAAAAGAGGGAGATTTGTACTAGTACACAGACAGAGTGAAGATGGCCATGTAAAGTCAGAGATAAAGCTCTAGTACACAGACAGAGTGAAGATGGCCATGTAAAGTCAGAGATAAAGCTCGGAGTGATGCTGCCACAGCCACGAAATGTCTAGAATTTCTAGAAACTGGAATTAGCAAGGAAGGATCCTCCCATGGAGGCTTTATAAGGAACTGGCCCTGCCAACACCTTGATTTTGCATTTCTAGCCTCCGGAACTGTGAGAATAAATGTCTGTGGCTTTAAGCCACTCAGGTTGTGGTGCTTTGTCATGGCAATCCTAGGAAAGTAATACACATTCAAGTCCGGCAAATGGCTCCCTAAACAACTATTTGTTGAACTGAATGGCAATTAAAACCTAATTTAAAACACTGTGAGTGAAGTGTTGTGCCCGTTTCTGGGATGCCTCATTGTCACCAGCTTAAAACTCTTACTAGTCACTAAGTGGAGAAAACATTTTCCTTTCTCCCTGTTGTCCTCAGAAATACAGATGAGAGATCAATCATAAAATGGCTCCTTTGAGCCCTAAAATGATGTCAAAACATTCCACAAGAAATGCACACGCAAAGCATTCTTCAGATAATGAAAATAATGAAAAATATCAAAATTACAATAAAAAATGCAGGTATTTAAAATTTTACTCTAAGAAAGATAGTAAATTACATAGAATTGGTTTTAAGAATGACATTTCTATTTTTACCTTTTTATGATAATTACAATACTGAGAGTAATTAACATAGAAAAATCATCTATTGTATGTTCACGGAGCTAACTCTGATGGATGGCAAGGTGGATTTATAAACACTCCCCATCATTAGCTGCTGAACAAAAGGAAGCCTGTGAAAGTTGTATCATCATCCTCATCCGCAAACAGGCCGTTAAACCTCTCCCCTCCGGACACCTGCAGCCACACCTCGTCCCCCAGCTTCAGCGGCAGCACAATGCCGCCAGAGGCCTGGTCCTCAGAGCTCATGTAACTGTCCTTCGTGTGCAGTATTTTTACCCCATTTTTGACCAAAGATACCTGCACATTCCTGGAGAACACAGTGATGTGGTAGGTGAAGTAATACACGCCGGCAATGTGGCAAGTAAATTTTCCCGTAGCTATATCATAATGGTTGAATTCATTATACAAGATCTTGTCAAATTTAATGGGTACGTCTGAAGAAGGAAACTTGCTCAGCACAGTGAGCCCCACAGTGAAAGCACTTTTTGGCAAGACTGGAGTCTCACCAATTTTCCCTTTTTCCCCTCGATCCCCTTTCCAGCCTCTCATTCCCCGGGCTCCTGGCTCACCTTGAGGTCCCAAGGGCCCAGCATCTCCCTTGGGACCAGGCTTTCCAAGGGGGCCTATGGGGCCCTGCAAACCAGTTGGGCCCACAGGTCCACTGCTGCCCTTTAGCCCTGCTGGACCAATGGGACCCACATCACCTTTCTCCCCCTTTTGCCCTTGAGGACCAGTCTCTCCTCGGAGGCCTTTCTCCCCCATGGGGCCAACAAATCCCTTTGGCCCATGTTTCCCTGGGGGTCCTCTGGAGCCTGGATCTCCTTTGATGCCTTTTGCTTCAACTCTTCCATCTTCTCCTAGTGGGGGGGGGGGGGGGGGAGGAGAGAGTAAACCAAGGAAAAAATGATTTGTGAGACATTACCTATAAAAACAACTGGTTTTTCTACTATTGAGCATACAAGTGTGATAAAACAGTGTACAGGTTTAGCATATACTCAGGGTTTGAAAATCCATTCAATCCTAAATCGCATGCATGCGCACGTACCCACACAAACAAAACACTACTGAACTAGTGTCAGGGCTCTCATCAGGAGGTACAACTCTTTACCATCTATTTGACTGCTAAACAATGCCGATCCTTGAGGAAACGTATCTTTGGAATTAGCTCAGGTTACTTTCAGGAAACTGACAATTATGTGATGTACCCCCAAAAGCTCCTCATGGAGTGAGCAATCACTAAGTCTTCAGTGTGCCATTCATTGGTCTCTACTGCCCAGCCCAGCCTGTCCGTGTGCCAACTGTATTGGGCTACTTGTCAATATGCAGAATAGCTCTGTGCTTCCAGGTTCCTTTGCCTTGACTGGAAAGCAGTGACTATGAGCATGGACTCAGAAGTTAAAGCCAGAATTCAATCCTCTCTCCACCACTTATGCACAGTGGGATGTTAGCCAAGCGGACTAGCCACCTCTGTTTCCTCCTCTGTAACATTGGGATAATAATATTACTTCATTTATAAGCGGTTGTATTGACTCAATACATGAAAAGCACTTAGAACAACCTAGCACAAAGTGAACATTATATGTTAGCCATTATGTCTATTCTCCATCCCCATCAGTCACAATTTTCAAGGTTCTTCCCTTCCTTTCAGGGCCCAATTCAATGCCACCTTCTCCATGTAGAGGCACTGAGTCAAAATTCAGTGTCATTTCTCAGTGCTCATACACTAACTGAGGCTGCAGCAATCTATGATCAAAGGCCAAATCCAGTGTGCTGTCTGATTCTATTTGTTTGTTTGTTTGTTTATATATTTTTTTAAAATATATTTTATTGATTTTTTACAGAGAAGAAGGGAGAGAGATAGAGAGTTAGAAACATCGATGAGAGAGACCTTCTCCATGTAGAGGCACTGAGTCAAAATTCAGTGTCATTTCTCAGTGCTCATACACTAACTGAGGCTGCAGCAATCTATGATCAAAGGCCAAATCCAGTGTGCTGTCTGATTCTATTTTTTGTTTGTTTGTTTGTTTGTTTATTTATATATTTATTTACTATTTTTATTTATTTCAGAGAGGAAGGGAGAGGGAGAGAGAGATAGAAACATCGATGATGAGAGAGAATCATTGATCGGCTGCCTCCTGCATGCCCCTTACTGGAGATCGAGTCCGCAACCCAGGCATGTGCCCTTGACCAGAATCGAACCTGAGACCCTTTAGTCCACAGGCCAATGCTCTATCCTCTGAGCCAACAGGTAGGGCCTGTCTGATTTTATATGGCCCACAGCTAAGAATAATTTACATTTTTAAGTAGTCACAAATAACATTCCACAATACATGACAATTATATAAAGTTCAGATTTTGTTTTTCATTTTTCATAAGCACTTCCCCACTTATATAAGTAGAGACTCCAGCTGCTTTTCACTACAATGGCAGAGTTAAGTGGTGGTGACAGAAACCGTATGGCCGGCAAAGCTAAAAATACTATCTGGCCCTTTGCAGAAAAAGCTTGCTGATCTCAGCACTGAATTATGAGCTTCTGGAGAGCAAGAACTGTTACCTTTATTGTTGGGTCATTCCCACAGCTTAGTAAAGTACTTCTCCTTGGGAAGAACTTAATAATTATCGCTAAATCCTTGGTGGTTCAGAATTAGAGCATGGTGAAATGGAACACGGTGTCTGACCTTGTTCTCCTTTCTGTCCGCGCATGCCATCCTTCCCTGGACCACCAGGATGTCCTGGTTCTCCTAAGTGGAAAAGAGAAAAAAGACAAGAGTTGAATTTCCAGTTTTCCTAAATATTGGTCTCAATCAGTGATGTAGACTGGAGAGAGGCAGATGTGAGGGAGCAGTAAGGGTGCTGAGTTGTGTGAAAGAAGTGAATTATTATAAAATGAATTGGGCTTCTCAAGTACCCAGCTCCCAAAGGCAGGACAAGAAGGGAGCATGTGCACAGATAATCACAATTGAGTTTTCTCATGTGAGGAGCACTCAGGACGTGATCAAATATCTGAGGCACCCTGGGTGGTGTGGCTCAGTTGGTTGGAGCTTTGTCCCTTACATCAAACATGGCAGGTTCAATTCCCGGTCATGAGGCAACCAATAGATGTTTCTCTCTCACATCAATATTACTTGTTCCCTCTCCCTTCCTTTCTCTAAAAATTAATTTTTAAAAATGCCAAAGGCATTGGGTGACTTTGTCACTTCTCCTTTTCTTTATTTCCTTTTATGTTTTGAATTGAACATTTTATTTTTCATTTATGGTTTACATTTAAAATTATTTTGTATTAGCTTTAGGTGAACAGCATAGTGGTTAATCATATACTTTACAAAGTGTTCTTCCAATATTTCCAGTACCCACTGGGCACCATACATGGTTATTACAATATTATTGACTATACTAGTGGCCTGGTGCACAAAATTCATGCACATTAAAAGGGAATTAATTAGAGGAAATATTTTAATATTGTTATTTGCCCTTTCTCTATAATAGAAGTGTCAGAGATGAAAGAAAATTAGTAAAATGTATATGAAAATCTTTCTCCTGTCAGGGCCTGAGGCGCGCCGCGGGACCCAGAGTCAAGTTCCCACCCAACCGTGTGCACCTTGAAATCATGCGAGACCCAGACCCAGCCAGCCCCACCCCCGTCAAGCCCTGCCGGGCAGGGGGCGCTGCCTCAGGTACCCCATCAAACCCCGCTGGGCTGGGGGCACAGCCTGAGGTTCCCCCAGCCCAGTGCCAGGGCAGGGAGCACGACCTGAGGTCCCCCATCAAGCCCCATCGGGCAGGGGGGTGCGGTCTGAGGTCTCCCTTCAAGCCCTGCTGGGCGGGGTCCCCTGCCATGGCCCAGCACCACGCAGCCTCAGGTCCCTGCTGATCACTCCTTACAGCTCATTACGGGAACCCTGCCTCCGCTGTGGGCGTAGCCATCTCGTGTTACAGGAACCCTGCCTCTGCTGTGGGCACAGCCATCTTGTGATGGCATGACGGAGTGGGGATCAATTTGCATATTACCTCTTTATTAAATAGGATTCCCTATGCTCTACTTTACATCCCAATGAGTATTTTCTAATTACCACTTTATAATGCTTCTTCTTTTTTTTGGTTAATCCTCACCAGAGGATATTTTTTTCCATTGCTTTTTAGAGAGAGTGGAAGGGAGAGGAAGGGTGAGAAAGAAAGAGTGAGGGAGAGAGAGAAACATCGATATGAGAGAGACACATTGATTGGTTAGTCTCCCACACATGCCCTGACTGGGGCCAAGGATGAACCTGAAACCCTGATACATGCCCTTGACCAGGAATTGAACTGGAGATTCAGGTGCATAGGTCACTGCTCTAACCATTTAGCTACACCAGCCATGACCAAATGTGTACCTCTTAATTCCTTCACATTTTTTAAAAATATATTTTATTGATTTTTTACAGAGAGGAAGGGAGAGGGATAGAGTTAGAAACATCGATGAGAGAGAAACATTGATCAGCTGCCTCCTGCACACCCCCCACTGGGGATGTGCCCGCAACCAAGGTACATGCCCTTGACCAGAATCGAACCTGGGACCCTTCAGTCCACAGGCTGATGCTCTATCCACTGAGCCAAACCAGTCAGGGCCCTTCACATTTTTTTTTCCCGGTCCTCGAACCCCATCCCCCTCTGGCAACCATTAGTCTGTTCTGCGTCAATGAGTCTGTTTCAATTTTGTTTGTTCATTTATTTTTGTTCTTTAGATTCCACACATAAGTGAAATCATATGGTATTTGTCCTTCTCTGAGTGACTTATTGTACTTAGCATCATACCCTCTAGGTTCATCTGTCCCAAATGGTAAGATTTTATTCTTTTGTATGACCCAGGAACATTCCATTTTATGTATGTACCACAACTTTTTTTACCTACCAGTCTATTGATTGACACTTGGGTTACTTTCATAACTTGGCTATTGTAAACAATGCTGCAATAAACATAGGAGTGCATATATTCTTTCGAATTAGTGTGGTGGATATATATATATATAATCACTGGGTCATAGGCAGCTTCATTTTTAATTTTTGAGGACCCTCCATACTATTTTCCATAGTGGCTGTACCAATCTGCATTCCCACCAACACTGCTCAAGGGTTCCCTTTTGTTCAAATCCTCACCATCACTTATTATTTGTGGATTAATTGATGACAGCCACTCTGATAGGTATGAAGGGAAATCTTACTGTGGTTTTAAGTTGCATTTCTCTGATGATTAGTGACACTAAGCATCTTTTCATATGTCTGTTGGCCATCTGTATGCCCTCTTTGGAGAAGTGTCCAGTCCACTGCCCATTTTTTAACTAGATTGTTTGACTCTGGTGTTGAGTTATGTGAGTTCTTTATACATTTTGGATATTAACCCCTTATCAGATGTATCATTGGTGAGTATCTTCACCCATTCAACAGGTTGTTTTTATGTTTTGTTGATAGTTTTCTTGGCTGTGCAGAAACTGTTTAGTTTGATGTAGTCCCATTTGTTATTTTTTTAAAAAATGTTTTTATTGATTTCAGAGAGGAAGGGAAAGGGAGAGATAGAAATATCAATGATGAGAGAGAATCATTGATTAGCTGCCTCCTGCATGCCCCACACTGGGGATCAAGCCCGCAACCCGGGCATGTGCCCTGACCAGGAATCAAACCATGACTTCCTGGGTCATAGGTCAATGCTCAACCATTGAGCCACACTGGCTGGGCCCATTTGTTTTTTATTTGTTTCCTTTGCCTAAGGAAAACATATCAGAAAAAAGTATTACTAGGAGAAATGTCAGAGATTTTACTGCCTATGATTTCTTCTAGGAGTTTTATGGTTTTGAGTCTTACATATAAGTCTTTAATCCATTTAGAGTTTATTCTTATATATGGTGTAGAAGATAGTCTAGTTTCTTTCTTTTTTTTTTTTTTTTTTGCATGTATCTGTTCAATTTTCCCAACACAATTTACTGAATAGATAGTCTTTTTCCCATTGTATGTTCTTGCCTCCTTTGTCAAATATTAATTGACCATATGGTGTGGGTTTATATCTGGGCTCTCTATTCTATTCCATTGAACTATTTGTCTGTATTTATGCTGGTATTATGCTGTTTTTATCACTGTGGCCTTATCGTATTGTTTGCTATCAGGTAGCATGATACCTTCACTTTGTTCTGTTTCAAGATTACTGTGGCTATTCAGGGCCTTTTGTGATTCCATATAAATTTTTGCATTATTTGTTTTAGTTTTGTGAATTATGTCATTTGCACCTTGATAGAAATTGCATTGAATCTGTAGATTGCTTTGGGTAATATGGGCATTTTAATGATGTTAATTCTTCTTATCTATTTACATGGCATATGCTTCCATTTATTTGTATGTTCTTCAGGTTTTTTTTTTTTCATTATATTTTTTTTAAAATATATTTTTATTGATTTTTTACAGAGAGAAAGGGAGAGAGATAGAGAGTCAGAAACATCGATGAGAGAGAAACATCGACCAGCTGCCTCCTGCACACCTCCCACTGGGGATGTGCCTGCAACCAAGGTACATGCCCTTGACCGGAATCGAACCTGGGACCTTTCAGTCCGCAGGCCGAAGCTCTATCCACTGAGCCAAACCGGTCTTGGCATTTTCTTCATTATATTATAATTTTCTGAGTTGCAGGTCTTTTATCTCCTTGATTAAATTTATTCCTAGGTATTTTTGATGCAATTATAAGTGGGATTGTTTTCTTCCTCTTTTTGAGGGTTCATTATCTACACTAATAAAAGAGAAACATGGTAATTAGCGTACGACCGCTACCCTTTTCATTGGCTAATCAGTGAGTATATGCAAATTAACTGTCAGCCAAGATGGCGGCCGGCAGCCAGGCAGCTGGAAGCGAACATGAGGTTTGCTTGCTGCCGACTCCAACGTTCCCGCTTCACTAGCGGGCCTCTGAGCTACAACTCTAAGAAACTATGTACTATGTTGCAAATAAGAAGCTAAACAAAACACCAGAAACCGGCTTTCAGTCAGCCGGGCTTTAGCAACATTGTATCGATGTTTTCAGCAGCGAGGCCTCAGAGCTAAAGCTGGCCCAGAATAAAAAAAAAAAAAAAAAAAAAAAAAAGAAAACAAGGAGCGGTTGGAAGCTTCAGTCACTCGCTTCCGGAAAACAGCCCTCAGCCCCTCACCCAGACTGGCCAGGCACCCCAGTGGGGACCCCCACCCTGATCCGGGGCCCCCCTCGGGGAAAAAACCCAGACCCACCCATGCACCAGGGGTCTTTTTTAGTATATATAAAAGGGTTATTTCCCCCCGCGCCCCGGGATCAGCGTGACAGGCTGCGCCCAAACCCCCTGATCGCCCTGTGGCTCTGTGAGTGACAGGGGCAGGGCCACAACCTCCCTATCCGTCCTGCTCTGTGTGTGACAGGGGAAGGCACCCCAACCCCCTGATCACCCTGCTCTGTGCCTGATAGGGGGGAGCTCCCCAATCCCTGATTGCCCTGCGGCTCTGTGTTTGACAGGGTGCGACGCACCAACCCCCTGATCGGCCCTGCTCTGTGTGACAGGGTACAGCGCCCCAACACCCCCTCCCCCACGGGCTCTGCTCTGTGCCTGATAGGGGCGAGCTCCCCAATCCCCTGATTGCCCTGCGGCTCTGTGTGACAGGGGGTGGGGCCACAACCTCCCTATCCACCCTGCTCTGTTCATGACAGGGGAAGGCGCCCCAACCCCCTGATCAGCCCTGCTCTGTGCCTGATAGGGGG